CTGCCAGCTTTGGGCTTCTGGCCTGCATCTTCTTCAACAAGGTCTACATCATCCTCTTCAAGCCCTCCCGCAACACAATCGAGGAGGTGCGCTGCAGCACAGCTGCTCATGCTTTCAAAGTGGCAGCCAGGGCCACGCTCAGACGGAGCAACGTGTCCCGCAAGCGCTCCAACAGCCTGGGAGGCTCCACCGGCTCCACCCCTTCCTCCTCCATCAGCAGCAAGAGCAACCACGAGGACCCTTTTCCTCTACCGGCCTGCGCCGAGCGGCAGCGCCAGCAGCAGCGTGGGTGCAAGCAGAAAGTCAGCTTTGGCAGTGGCACAGTGACCCTGTCGCTGAGCTTTGAGGAGCCGCAGAAGAACGCCATGGCCAACAGGAATGCCAGGCGCAGGAACTCGCTGGAGGCCCAGAACAGTGACGACAGCCTGATGAGGCACCGGGCCCTGCTTCCTCTGCAGATCAACGAGCCCCTCGGCGCTGAGCCCAGCTTTCAGGCAGCTTCCAGCCCGGAGAGCAGCTCGCAGGAGTCGGTGGTGGGAGACAACAAAGAAGAAGTACCAAGCCCTGAGGCAGAGCCTTCCCTGCCATCAGCTAACTCCCGAAATTTTATAGGCGCYGGAGGTGGCTCTGTCACAGAGAACACGGTACATTCCTAACAAAAGAAGATTGTGGAAGCACACCAGCCCCCAAAGAGGAACTTGCTCACCTCTTGCCTCTAAAYGGGAAGGGCAACAAAGACACACCGCTGTGACACAGCCCCACCACACCTTAATGTTAGCATCGGCAGGGTAACACATATCTCCAGAGGAGGGACTGTGTCTGGGGAGCCTTGGATTGAATTTGCATTTGCTTTATTGAAACCAGGACATCTCAGAAGGACAAGTGAAGATGGCCTCTGGTGGGGCTTAAGCAGAARTCTGCATGCTGCCTTGCCTCCATAAGCTTTTCCTGCCAGACTGCAACTCAGCTGACTATGGGAGGCATTAGGCAATTACACTATACCCTGCTTTTACATTTATGTATAATATTCCTCTTTCCCACTATGTATAATACTCCCTCTTTATCCAGTATATGTGATCTGTAATCATGTGCATCAGGACTTTCAGCTCTACAAAAGCAAGGTACACGGTTTCACTTCAGGAAAGCACCGTCATGGGGAAAATAAAAAAAGCCCCCAACATCCTGCATGCTGTGTACAGCCAAGGGTGTGGACATGTAAAGTATTTAATGTGACAGAGCGCCCTGCTATTTATATKTAGTAATGTCCCAGTCTCTCCTTTCTGCCCAACAGGAAATATTGGACAATACTCTCCATAGACTCCATTGCACTAGACCAAGCTACTTAGGTTCCTACTGGTTTCCTCCTGCTGGAGTAGCTTTACCTCCAGCCTGCCTGCTTTGGTGGAGGGGGAGAACAGCTTGTAAATCCCTCCTAAAAACCATTGTGAGAGCACAATGAGATGTATCCCTGATTGATTATGTCGCTAGTAGTTGTATGCTTAACCAAGTGTTGCTGCTGTACTATCCCACAAGGCATACATGGCTAACCCTTTCACACCATAGTCAGTGTTGTGCTTTGCCATATTAATCTGCCTCACACCTACATGGAGCATTGTGCCAGTCCTGGTGATACTGGTGGGCCTGACACAGCAAATGAAATGAGGAGAAATGGAGGAGTTAGGGATGGAGAAGGATTCCCCAGCTGTGATAATAGGATCGATGAAGCGGGTGAATATTTGAAGCGTGCATGCTGATAGATCACTGGGTGAGGAAGACATTCAGGCYTGGGTTCTTGGACACGCATAGAGACAAGTGGATGAATTGGCTATAGTTTGGCTCCTATAGGCCACCTACTAGGTTATTCCCAATTTTGAAACCAGGGCACCTAGCACAAAAAATGGTGGACYATACCTAAAGAAAAACAGTAAGGACTTCAGCAGAGAGCATAGCAGAACTTTATTACTCTTGTCCCACTCTTCCTAAAGCAGACATAAGTGCTCCTGGTTTTGCAAGGCATGCCCGGCTGTTTTTGATTCATGGTGGAAAAGTTGAAGAGAGTCATTAGAAGAGAGATTCATTGCAGCTTGATGAGAGAAAAAGCACCCCAGGACAGCCTGACAGGAGGGGCTAGGGTTGCAATGCAGAATTTATTTCCCTCTTCCCAGATTCCAAGTGCAAGAACAAGCATCTGTCAGGAAGATGTCAGTAGCCTCCCTCATTAAACACAAAGGTAGTCTAGACCACTACAGAATGGTAGCTGGGCCTGCAGCTCAGTGTGAGCAGAGAYAAAAGGACTGTGTTCGAATGCATTGGGAAGAACACTACAATTCTCTTGTTACTGTTTTTGCTTGGTTGTTTTTTTTTTTGCCAGGGCAGGCAAATAAAACTTACAGGTGACATTACTGCATAACAACTTCATTTTTCCACCTCCACTTGTTGACAAGGAAAAAGAGTTTTGACTCAGGAGACCAAAGTCAAAATCCAGAACCCCAAGAAGCACACTGTTCAGACGAGTTATTTTAACCCTTTTGTTGATCTGTTACCCCCCCTTGGAGTGGGCTCAAATTTTAATTCCACCACATTAGAACCAATCCAACTATAATTGCAAGGCCCACAAATGACAATATTTAATTAAAACTGTCACAGATGGTTGGGGGTTGAAAAAGAGCGAGTTTGAAACACAAATCCTTCCAGCCCAAATTTTGGAAACCACATTCTACCCCTGGACCCAGCAAGAGCTGCTTACTGCTTCTAAAACCCAGGTCCCTTCCCCAGGCTTCTCACTGTGGCCTGTGGTGTCTGTTTAGGGTACAGAATTGAGCCCCGAGGGCTCCTAACTGCACAAACAGAGATGAGCACTAGATGGCAGAAACTGCTAAAAAAAACCATTTTGGTTATGACTAACACTTCGAAAAAGTCCAATAGCTGAGTAGTTTTAGTGCTAGTGAATCATTCCTCTTGGGGCAAAGCAGCACAGTAGCCCCTGAAGTGAAGCTGACAGCATTGAAACATGTAAGAGCTCAATGACTGAAATGAAAACAACACAATCTACAAACCAAAGACTGTGTGTGAACACATGCACTGTTAGAAACAGAAAATCACCATCAGCTGCCTTGTTGGGAAAAAAATATTCACCTGCTATGTATCCAGTAGATAATACTGACATATGGGTGCTTTTCATTCCTTGGGTGTTTTTCATTCWTAACATTTACTTAAAAGGAATTTGAACCCTGGCATACAATGAGTCTCAAGAGCTGCAGTCATTTTTTAGCATGGTCAACAGTGCTGTGTTTGCTGGGAAAGCCCCATCCACCCTCCTTGCTCTCATACTTGGAGTCCTAAGCCTCCAATTCCAATGAAAAAGACCCCTTTGGGGAAGGTGCTTTACAAATAAACCCTTTTCCCCCTGCACAGAGAGGGGGATATGTYCTCATCCTGACAATTCCAGGAGAAGAAAAGGCTTGCTCAGGCACTGTCCAGAAACCTGTTGGTTTATCACATACAAAAACACTGAYGAAGATGCACTGGGGAACATTCTTSTGCTGAAAGCCTGAAAATCACCACTGACATTTCCTACCAGAGGATGCCCACCTGAATGGCTGCCCCATACCACCCACCACGGATCAAAAACCCACTGGAAAGCTGCCCCAGTGTGGTATTTCCTGAGCCATTCAGTAGTGACAACAGCTGTCTGGTGGGATTTCCTTTGGAAAACTTGGGAACCATCCCGTTTCCTCACAAACTCGGCAGGGCTCTGCCTACCCAAAGTGCCAGTTGAGCATTTCTTTATAGATGATAGCAGAGGAAAGAAAACCTTCTTCCCCGTTATATTTCATGCTTCTCACCATGTCCGTCCTATCAGTCCAGGAGCTCCATTCAGTTTGCAATA